CTCAAGGGTACTCGTGGCAGTGTAGCCGAGTGGTTAGCGTGTCAAGCTCCCATCCTGCACTGTCGTGGTTTGACTCCTGTTAAGGGTGTTGATAATACCAATGCGAGGTCGAAACTGTAGTCCACCCTAGATAAGAACAAATTTTGGGAAAGCAAGGCTATGTGAAATTCAATAGAAACGTCAGCTCAACTCATATCATTGTGGGAAATTTCTACTACCAGTCCTTCATCACCTTAGACGAAATAGGGTGAATAACTCTCATATTAATAAAAAGTAAGCAGGATTTCAGTCGGCCACCTTTCTTATCTTTGTGCTTGGTGAATTATCGTAAAGCATCGTGTCCTGCCCTGACGATTTCCATCACATGGCGGACGAAAGCTCAACAAGGGTCGCAGAGCGATGCGCCGAGGACCTATTCACACGAATCTACAATCCCAGCTCCACGACAATCCACCTACAGTATCCGTTGAGGGGAATTTACGAATCCCTTCCGCCCACCTCTTCAAACGAAATGAAAGTTACTCCAACATAAAATAAGCATTATCAACCCTCGCAATCTCCTTTCGGTTTCGGTGAGGACACCATATTTTTTATTATACATGAATGGTTAATTGATAAGAAACTGGGTGGGCGGAAATCTATTTTCAATAATCTCCAGCTGTATTACAATCAAAGGCCATTTGGTCGGCTTCATAACACAGTCTACCTACCTGGATCTGTTTTCCAAGACTATCGTTCCGTTCTTCCAAAGCCTGGCACTCCGACTCCCTGTCCGTTAAACACATTTTCATGCGTTGTAGTTCGCCTTCTAGGCTACGCCGATTTAATTCAAGTTGAGTGATTCGATTTTCAGCGTCATCTAGAGCTCTTCGGCTAAGTTTGCGCTCTTCTTCTAGACGAGATTCACTCTGTCTCACCTTTGAGAAATTTTCCTGAGTAATGATTGAAAGGATAGAAGCAAAAAATAATTGATTAAAAAGGCAAGTAATTTTGAGGCCTTTAATATGGTCCTTAAACGACTATCCAAAAGAGTAAACATATTTGAAAACCCTGTGTACTCTTCAGAGTTAAAGCGATACATGCTCTACTTGCTCCTAGCCAGTCTATTTATCCACAAAATGGAAAATTTCATGTTATTTTATGTCAGTGTTGATTTGCTCTTTTTATGAATAAATAAACTTTTAATAATAATTTGTGGGTAAAATAAGAGATTCTTAAAGGCACCTTGGTGGAACATTAACGTTGATTTTAACGAGACTTACATGTGAATAAATAGATGTAATTATAGTAGAAGAGTGGAAACAATAAACCAGGATTTCCCTAATAAAACGTGACTGGTGTAAAGAAACTTGTCAGTTTTAATCTCAAAGTGATAAAGCATTTATATATATCTATGCATACGGTGATAAAGACCAATCTTAGTCTTAGAAATTGTCCTCCAAATTACTGTCCGCTCAGTTCTAGCCACTACGCTTCAATTGCATGAATTAAATTTTGAGATTTTCGGAATTCAAATGTAAAAATGTCGGGAAGTAGCAAAATAGATGAAAAGACGTAGCTAGACAATATCTTTAATAATGTACTGTAAAAGAAATATTTCGTTTATTATCATCCTCTCTATCGCATGAAAGAAGCAAAATAGTTTAACAACTTTTATTCTGAAATAGTCTGGCGTTCCATTAATTCCATCCTAGTAGAGTGCACTAAGGATTTCTGTATTTCTGAGACCGATTAGGTTAAATTTGTTGGATCAAATATCACGGATAGTTCTAAATGTATAAATTAGGGGTTTAAATTTAGCTCAAAGAGCTCGAAAATGAACCTCAGATATAAGGACTAAACACGAATAGGAGAGTAATTAAAGTAAGATTTATTCACAAAATGAATAATACCTTTTAATCCATTATGAACACCAGCGATCTGCACCAATCTAGTAGATGAAATAAACTGCCTACCAACATTCTCTTAAGCTCACTTCCATTCCGAATGAAAGTATTTGGTGAATAAATTTGAAGGCCGAGTTCACTAGAAGACGACGGCGGATTCCTATTGTCAATCTGTCGATTAACTTTACTGGAAGATTCTCGTTGATGCTGTTCCAGAGGCCATCACCTTCTATCCCAGTGAAAACGTGCTAAAATTTCGTCCGTCATATGCTGGATATCATCAGAGCAGGGCACCATTTCTACAAACATATTCAAGCTAACGAGTCAAGAAAATTTACCAGCTTATCCTTACATTTTGTATATATACCCTATAGGTATGCTTTTTAATGAGATATAAAGTGATTTGGTTAGCTCATGTTATATGCCTTCTTGACTTTCTAGTTTGAATATGGTTGTAAGAATGATACCATACTCTGATATGACGGACGTAAGCTCAGCATGTTTTCACCAGAAGCAACGGAGATTGCCTTTAAAACAGCGCCAATAAGAATGTGTCCTTTAAAGCTATGCGAAGGTTGGTCAAGCGTAATCTGCCGACATTCTGGTAGGATCGATTTTACAACCTCTTTATCAAACACTTATATTTGGAATGGAAGTGTGCTAAAAAATAATAAATTAGGAGTTTCCCCGAAACTAATATCCAGTCTGGTATTTATGCTGAGAATGTGCATACTATTTTGTATAAATTAGTTAAGCGTTTTGGATTCAGTAACAAACAAAGTTAGGAAACTGTTCATTATGCCATTTCCAAAGTGCTTTTGACAATTGTCTTTGAGCAAAACGACAATGTCTAGCATTTTAATTTCATCTGATTCCCGATTAAAAACATCAGATTTGCTATACATTTTTAAATAGACTTGCTTATAAGCTCCAAGCCCTATGCTTTAAAAGTTACGAATAAGACAAAGCACAGTAAATAAATTACCGTACTTTGTTAATCAAACAAAAAAGTGACGGCTCAGGTTTTATGATTGACTATTTCATGCATACGGTTGGTTTCACCATCTCAAACTGCCGCGTAAAGCCGAAGTGAGACTTAAAAAGTCATTTTTACATGGAATTATTCAAACAACCGCCTATCGCTCCAATGAAGCCGCTGCTAACCTGTTCTAATCGCCTCTCTGACTCTAATGCAGCAACTTGACGTTCCAATTGACTGATTTTCTCACCCATTTGTTTGCGCTCACGCTCATTTCTTCGGATAGCCTCCTCCTGCAACATCATAGCTGTCTGAGCACTGGCCAAACGGCCGTCTGTACCCTTCTTATCTAACAGAAGAAATATGTAGAGGGTAAAGGAACAAAAAACGTTATGAGGGAAATACATAAATAAGGAGAAGAGGGACTTTAAGTCACCTTAAGCTTAGCAACCAAAGTCAGAGAAAAGCCGTTTTGGCTAAACTAGGATTGGTAATTGTCTGCCAACTATGCACTTAGTCCAAAGTGGCCCTCACTCATAAAACCCGAATAAACGGTCTAAATATTGCTACACTAATGTTAAAATATTTGTCTTATATATAAAAATTAATTTTTGTATTGTTGGAGATGCCTTCATTTCGTAAGAAAGTATATGGAGAAGAGATTCGTAGGTTCATATTACCAGAAGACGAAGGCTAAATCCCGTTGTACTGCAGCCGTATGGCTTTATTATGACGCTCAGGTTAACGCATTCCATGAGAAATCCTCCCTGGCTTCGGGTGCAAATGGGCTGAGCTTTCGTCCATCATATAAAGAACATCATCAGAGCTGGAACGCATTCTTGTAAAAGTCTAATGTTAACACTAGGACAAGAAGACAATCTGGCTCTATCTTACCTCTTT